GTGTGTGTGTGTGTGTGTGTGTGTGATTGAGAAAAGGGGCCGCAGGAAGAAAGCCCCTGGCTTCCCCGGGTAAGCCTGGCGTTTCCACCTGCAGGAAGGATGCTGGGAGAGCACCGCTGGAGGGCCGCTGCGACCCTGAGCCCGCGGACAGGAAAGGCGGGGGCTGAAACGATAAACTTGGGGGCCTGCCATCCCGCCCTCGGCTCCCTGGGTTCACGTGGCCCCGTTTCTCTCTCTGCTCCCCCAGCCGGTGGGGGACAAAGGGCACCCAGGAGGGCAAGCATTTGCCTGCGGGAACTCAGGATGGGAAAGCGCAGGACACTGGCCCTGGAGAGCGAAGGTGCAGGTCAAAGGGCTGATTTTAATGAGCCCAGACTTTTGCACCTTCCCATATAGAGAGAAGTGCTAAAACTTGAGATGCCTGGTTTTCTTTAATTAACAGTAATTGTTTGATGTTCCAACTGCCTGGTCTTGGTTGTAAAGCTCCTGTATATCCTGGCTCCTCCCCTCCCTCTTCAGAGCCGTCCCTCAGAGCCATCTAGGGGGCTGTCCCCCCTGGGCTGGAAGTCCTCAGTAAGTCCTAATAAAGCGTAATTCTCAGCGTTTCGGTTTGCAATTTCTTTTTTCAGTCAACAGTAGAAAAAGAGAATGAATGTTTTCTTACGTCAAGTGAACACGTTCTTAAGAATCTGATCGTTGAGCCCTTGAAGTACTGGTTGATCATGTTTTAAGTCTCCCCGTATGCAGATAGGTTCCTGATATGGAAACGCTGTGTTTATTTTGCACGTAGGTTTAATCGTAAAGTTTGCCTGTGGGCCCTGAGGGGTTAGGAGGGAAAATCGTAGCTGTTTCTTCCTCCTGGTGGTTGAGAGAGTGTCCCTGCGGCCAGGAGAGATCCACGCCTCGGAGAGTTAATTATCCGAGCCCCGGCGGGGCCCACCCAGCAGTCTGAGCCCTGGGGTCCCACCTGGCTGGAGCTCAAGGAGGCTCGCAAGGCAGTGTCAAAGAAAAGCACTTTTCCACTCACCGAAGAAAATGACTTCTGTGGTCCTGTTGCAGAACGTCTTCCCGTGGTTAACAAAAAGATCTGGCTGAGATGAAATATTAACTTAAGGAGTTTTGGGAGCCAAAGACAAATATTATGAACCATGCAAAGTGTGACAGGGCATTGGGGCTCAGGGTGTACGGTGCAGACACAGGACGCATCCGCCCCGTGTGTGCAGACAGCTTACTCTGCATTTGCCTAAGGTGCCATCTGGCTGCCGCACGGGTGGAGAACACTGCCTGGCTTTCTGCTTCTTCTGTTTATGATTTTTCAATTCATAACAATCCTTCATAAGCTCCTCTCAAACATGACTCATCCTCTTTTCCCTCTGAGAAAACATTAGGGGGTTTCACTGAGAAATGAGCCGTCAGGCTGCGAGAAAACAAGTGAAACCTTTAAGGAGCTGCGCTCCTGACAGCCTGGGGCTTCCGTGGGGGAACAGCGCCCCTTGGGTCCCCCCCACACGCAGCCACCTCTCCTGGCCGACAGGTTTTAACCAGGGAGGACACAAAAGTGACTGGTTCCCAAGGAGAAGGATACAGATTGTGTGTGTGTGTGTGTCTATGAGAGAAAGGTTTACCCACCTGAAGACATCAATGCAGTTTTATTTAAACAGGGTCAGTTTTGCAGGACGTATTTGGCGCTGTTTTGTGTCATCCATACCACCTTCCTGACCCGTGCTTCAGAGAATTGCAAGAAGTGCATCCCACAGACCATGCGAAGTGGACGCTGCTTGTCACAGTAGTGAACACACTTAGGGTTCAGGCGGTCTGTGATCGGCACGCAGGGCTTCAAAGCAACGTGCAGTTACAAAAGTGAATATGTGTACTCTGAGTCGGCTCTGAAAATGCAGCCAACTCCCCCTGTGTCCCCCACAGTGACGGGGGCAATGCTGACCTTATGTGTTCTGGATCTGTTGTTACTGTGCAACCAGCTTTCCAAAGGACCCCCCCCTCCCCAGCCCCCCAGCTAATCTTGGCAAAGGCACTAGAAGGTTCTGGGTGCAAGGTCGGTATGTCTGCTCATGCTACCCCAGGAGTTTTTGATTCTATTTCTGTGATTAAACTTGTGACGGTCTCATGAGCAGAAAGAGTTGATGTTTCAGTTTAGTCCAAAGGCAGGAAGAACTCCCCTTTGCTTTGGGGAGGGTCCGCCGTTTTGTTCTATTGAGTACTCCACCTGATTGGGTGAGACCCACCCACACGAGGGAGGGCAATCTGCTCGGCTCGGTCTACAAATTTAAATGTTAACCTCATCCAAAACACTCTCGTACAAACACTCAGAATTATGTTGGGCCGACGATTCAGGCACCCCATGTCCCCTTCAAGTTGACACATAAAATTAACCATCACCGTATGACAACAGACTTGCGCAGCTAGTCTACTGCACGTATCATGAAGCACATTACCTCGGTGTGACCTGCCCCTAGTGAATCCAGAATGACTCCCATTTCTCAGAAATATTTTTTTAATGAAATAATTCCAGAATTCTGCTGGGGCCCAGCATTAAAAAGAAAAAATTCAGTAGTCTGTAATTTTAAGAATCCATCTTTTTCATCCTCGTTTTTCCTTTTAAAAATTTGAAATGACACATTTTTTTCTGCATTTTTCTTTTAAAAAAATGTATTGATTGAGGTGCGACATATACAGGGAGACATACCCATGGATGGAGCGTTACGTGTAGATCCTCATGTAACCATCACCCGGATTCAGATACAGCACACTTCTGGCAACTCAGGAATCTCCGAAGCACCGGAAAACCCCGTCTTTACAACTGTCAGTCAGCTCTGCTTGCTCTTCAGCTGCATGTCAACGGAGCCATGCAGAACGTCACCCTCGGTGTCTTGTTCCACCTGTCTCCATGGGCTTCACGCTTACTCTTTTTGTCCAGTTCTAGGTTCATTCAATATTTCTTATCTTTTCATTGCTTGGACCTACTTCTGTGTATGAAAATAGCACAGCGTATTGATCTGTTCTCTGTTGGTGAACCTTCGGTTGCTTTCCGTTCGTGGCGGTAATGACCAATGACTCCACCAATGTTGGTGCATGTCTTTTTTTGTGGGAAAAGTCACTTCTAGGACTATTGTGTCTTGCTCCCACCAGCCATGCATCAGAGTGGGGGCATTTTCTTAGCTTTCGTCTTTTAGGGTGTGTTTCGTGCCTCCTCGATGACTAAAAAGGCTTGGCTGTGTCTCGAATATGATGTGTGAAAAACTGAGGCACAAGAAAGTGTTGCAATGCTCAGAGACGCCTTCAGAATACAATATTGCTTCAAGATGATATGGATATATGCACGTGGTGCCTGTCAGCAAATATATCTTGGGAAGATAGTGGGACAAGAAGGTGAGAATGGAATTATTAATTAAGTATTTATTAAAAATCTCCTTGGGGAGAATTAAGCCGACTTTATAAATGCTGGCTGGCTACGCCAGTGGCCCCATTCCTACACAAGCTCTCACAACGAACTATCAAGGAATTTCAAAGGCTTACAAGCTTCCCCGGGGTATTCCTCTCCATTCTGAATGCTTTGTTATTTTGTAATTTTGGCCTTTTTTTTTTCCCCTCCTATCACTGATTTGGTATTCTGTGTGCAGAGGTGCTGGTTATAGAGACTTTTCCTGGTATTCACGAATGAAAGGCGTCCAGGGTGGAGGTCAGGAATGGGTTGCTCTGAGTTCTGGGTCAAACGAGCAGATCAGACCTTCAGGCGGTGAGAGATTTTCAGGCAGCTATTTTTCTGAGCTTGAACTCTTGCAACTTGTCATATCGAGAGAAGCACTAAACATCAGTAACCGAGTCATCTGCTCCTTGCGACCAGCAGTGGCCTCCACGAGGCCGGCAGCAGCCTTCTGCAGAATGTGTGTGCTTGCCGGCGCGCCGCTCCCTTCGCCGAGCTCACGCGTACACTCGCCTGCCCCCTTCGCCGTTCGGAATATTTCCCCAGACTGACCCGGGCGAGAGTCCTCATTTCGCCCCCACATAAAACTTAGCTGCCAGCTCTCATGCTGCACATTTTTTTTTTCAGTCGACAAGGGAAGCCACTACTTCAGAAATATCGATGCAAAGTGCAAGCCATTCTCTTTGAACGAAAAGGAACTTGAAGCGTTTCCTGGGCCCCTGGGTGCACGTGTTCAGGGCTGCCTCGCGGCCAGGCTGCCAAGTCTTGCTCTGATCGTCCGGTCTCAGGGGACTTTGTTGTAAACCCATCTCTAAAGCGCGCGATTGCTTTTCTGTGAAGGTCGTCTGCAGGGCAAATGCTGACATGCAAGGCAACACTTACAACTCCCGGCCTGGGCCCTTGCTCGCTTAGCCCACACGGATGTGACTTTATACGCTCATTCCGTGCAGGTTGTCAAGTGTGTGAAAACAAGGCATCACAGGGCAGCCATTTCTAACCGTGCCAAGAACAGCTCTAAGGGTGAGCAAAGTATTAAAATACACATTTTTTTTTGGAAAGTGCATCAGTAGGGGATACTCAGTTCCCGAAACTCTGCTCGCTGAAATAAAAGACGTTTGGCGTGAGGGCGGGGACTTTTAGTTTTATTCAGAGACTTCCTGAGGACCACAGCTCGGGACGGTTCCGAGACACGGACCCCAGGGTGCCGAGCTGGGGGAGGCCAGTGACGAGTGGCTTCGGCGCAGGGGGCGGGTGCAATGGAGCCCACATCTTGGGAGGACCCGCCCTCTGCCCCCGGATCACGCGGTGACACCCTGATGAACTGGGAGACCCAGTTGGCCCCAGAGCGAGAAGGTGCAGGGCTCGGGGCCTGGCGCTGGGGTGCGGGGTCCCTGCACTAAAGCCGCTCACATTAACCCTAACTGACAGCACATGTGTCTTCTTTTTTTTCCCTACACAGGATAACTTGATTTTGATTGAGTGAAGCAAGATCAGGTGACGGTGTGCCATGCGCCCTGGCCCTGCGCCCCCCATGAAAACATCCCCCTTCCTTGGGGCCCCCGAGAGACTCGTGGGAGTCACGGCGGCTCCCGCGCAGCTGCGCTGTGGCAGCCGTCCTGGACACGGCGAGAGCTTCGGGCCCCCAGACAAAGGACGAAGGTAATTTGTTTTCTACAGAATTTTGTTTTCCTAAAGCCTCGTGTTCTGTTCCACTTTAAAGGGCGTTTCGGCAAATGATGTATGAAATGAGAAAAGGTTTTGAAACCCTGCCTGGTTTCACCTAAAGGGCATGCGTACCTGGAGAATGAGTCTGAAATGATGTGGGGGAAAAATAGCTATTTTTCTTAAGAAAAAGAAAAAGAAAGAATGAAACGCTTATGCTTTGGATAAATTCATGTCAAATGGCCAGATATTATGTGCTGGGTAGTGGGCGAGGTATTGCAGGGGTTCACTGGGAAATAATGTCTGGGTTTATTCTTAAGAAGTGTGTGGCGTCTGCAGCAATCCCGCTCCTGGGTTTATATCCAGAAGGAACCCTACTTCAGGATGACACCTGCACCCCAATGTTCACAGCAGCACTATTTACAATAGCCAAGACATGGAAACAGCCTAAATGTCCATCAGCAGATGACTGGATAAAGAAGATGTGGTGTATTTATACAATGGAATATTATTCAGCCATAAAAAATAACAACATAACGCCATTTGCAGCAGCATGGATGCTCCTGGAGAATGTCATTCTGAGTGAAGTAAGCCAGAAAGAGAAAAAAAAGTACCATATGAGATCGCTCATATGTGGAATCTAAAAGAAAAGAACATAAATGCAAAACAAACAGACTCACATACATAGAATACAAACTTGTGGTTGCCAAGGGGGCAGAGGGTGAGAAGGGACAGACTGGGAGTTTGAAATTTGTAGACACTGACAGGCATATATATGCAGAATAGATAAACAAGATTATACTGTGTAGCACAGGGAAATATATACAAGATCTTGTGGGAGCTCACAGCAAAAAAAAATGTGACAATGAATACATGTATGTTCATGTATAACTGAAAAATTGTGCTGTACACTGGAATCTGACACAACATTGTAAAATGACTATAACTGAATAAAATAAAATTAAAAAAAAGAAGTGTGTGGGATCTGGAGTCAGGCACACACAAAGTTATACAAAAACAGAGTATGGTGTCGTCTTGAAGAGCAAGAGAGCAAGATGAAGGGATACAGGAGGAGAATGTGTGATACAGTCAAGCAAGGGAGAGTGACTGTTGCAGCTTTTAAAGTGGATATTGCCCGATATGAGACTTCTATGGCAATTTGGAGCGTGAATTCATCATTGAGATGTACTGCATTGAATAGCGACCTCCCCCTGCCAAAAAAAAGTCCAAATCGTAACTTCCAGAACCAGTGAAGTCAACTTTATTTGGACAAAGGGTCTCTGCAGATGGGGTGACCTGAAGGGTCTGAGAGGCGGTCCTCCTGGAGGAGGTGGCCCTGCATCCAAGGACAGTGACCTCAGAAGAGACAGAGGAGGAGAGATGCAGACACAGAGGAGCAGCTTGCTGCCAGGTCCTCTTCATCAGTTACCAGTCAAAATAATGCATGATTCCAGGCGACTTTTTCCAGATCAACGGATGGCAGGCTGCAAGGTCTGAGGTGGGCACGTCCCACGTGAGATGCAGTGTGGGGAGGATGAGGGTGGCTGTGCGCTGGTTTTTTGGGATGAGTGGTAAAGCCAAAGAAGCTGCGTGTCCAAGGAGCGATCCCTCCTGGGAAACGTGTGGCTGTGAAGGTTGACATTTTCCCGCAAGAGTCTGCTACTGGCCATAAAAACAAATGAACACTTTGGCGAAGGCTGTCCTTTCGGACCGATCCGGAGGAGTCAGCCAGCTAGAATGGTCAGCGGCTTTGAGCAGCTCTGCTGGACACCCCTGTTGTGTTTCTGTGCTGAGAAAGGCATCTTTTTGTCGCTGCTATTTCTGTCCCTTGAACACAGCCTCAGCCTAACATGTGCCCTGATCCCAGGGTCTCAAGCCAGCAACCACGGCAGCTGCCCAGGCGGTGCCCTCGGAGGGGACTCCGGATGGAGAGACGCAGGACACTGGCCCTAAGGTTCACAGCAGAGGACTGATTTCCATGAGCCCAGACTCTTGGATCGTCCCATACTAAGAGAAGCACTGAATTTGTTAACTTGAGATGCATGGTTTTTCTTTAAATTCCAGTCATCTCCTGATGTTCCGACTACCTGGGATTTTTTTGTTGTTGTTGCAAAAATGCATATATCCAGGCTCCTTCCCAGTCTCGTCAGTGCAGACAGGCTGCCTTTCAGGCTGATGTCCTCAGAAAGTCTGCCAAATAAAACAGAATTCTCTCCTTTTACGTTGCACTTTCTTTTTTTTAATCAGATGACACGATTCAGCCAGGCATTCATCAGAAAGAAAGACAGGTGTCATTGTAAATCGACTATATTTGAATTAAAAATAAACAAATAAATACATAAAAAGGATTTTGAAATTAAACAAAATACAAGTCTCAATATTTTGAGCGCGGGTTCACAATCTTTTCTGAAAACACGATTCTCCGTGTTCGCTGATCGTAAAAGCGACCGTCTGTTCCCTTTGTCAAAGGTGCTCTGAGGCGCAATGGCCACTTGCAGCCACTAGATGGCACCAAAGACCAGCATTTTTCTATTTCCCGCAGAAACATGAGTTTTGAACACGTTGCGCGTTTTCCTGAGAAAGTGTCAAGTGAGATCGAGCGGGTGAATTGGTGATGATTTGTAAAGGGAGCGGTGTGAGGGCTCCAGGTGGTCCACATCCGATGCATGCTACTGTCTGCTTTTTAAATTTTTATTTATTCTAGAGTGGCTGGGTGTTGCTGTCATTTTATTTTGTTGTTTAATTTAATTTAATTTTATTTTATTTGTGTGTGTGTGTGTTTTTAAGTCTCTCTTTTTTAAATTTATTGAGTTACAGTCAGTTTACAATGTTGTGTCCTTTTCTCGTGTCGAGCACGATTTTTCAGTCACTATTTTATTTTTTTTTTTCATCGACGTATGGTAGCCGTGGTCCACATCCAACGCTTATTATTGTCCGGTTTTTAAATTTCTATTCAATCTCCTGGTTGTGTGTTGGTATCTCCCTGTCATTTTATTCACTTATTAAAAATTTTTTTTTTACCAGAAACGGTCACATTGTAACTGACTGTATTTTAGTTTTTTTTTAATTGAAGGGTAGTTGCTGTCTGATGTTCTATAAGTGACAGGTGTCCCATATACGGATTTGGCATTTTTAAACATTATACTCCACTTAGTGTTATTATAAACATTTTGCTATATGCCCCGTGCTGCACCCCAGGTCCTCAGCTTAGTTCGTACCTAACAGTGTGTACAGCTCACTGTCACTGCCATTGCTGCACTCCGGTCACTCACGGTGCTGAGTATCTTTGGGTTACCTGCCTGTTGCCCCCATTTATAGATATTTTGTGCATGAAGTGTTTGCTCAGACACCCAGTCAACAGCCTATTGGATTGTCTGCCTTTTATAATTGAGTTGTTTACACGTTCTGGACGCACACTAAATACATCATCCTTGCGCCAACAGGATAAATGCTTTATGCAGAATTTTCTTCCACTGTGTGGCTTTTCCCCCATTTCTTCACCATGTCATTCACGGCGCAGGAGTTTTTAGTTTTGATCAAGTCCAATTCATCAGGGTTTTTTTTTTTTCTTCTCTAACGTGGTTCACACTTTCTGTTTCCTAAGAAATCTTGGTGGACGCTGAATTCAGTAAGACTTTTCTCCTGGGTTTTCTTCTAGAAGTTGATAGTTTTAGCGTTTGCATTTTAAGTCTGTGACGCATTTGGAGCGTGGAAATAAATGAAGGTCACCCGGAGGACAGCGAGCCGAGCGTGTTGGCGGAGCGCTTGCCGGAACGGGGGCGTCGGCCACCAGCCGGCGAGGTCAACAGAGCCTCCGAGGCCGGCGGAGGGGTGGGGACCTTCACTGCAGTGCCCGGGCAGGATCAGCTGTGCCTGGTCCCAAGTCAGAAGCAGAAGCAGACCGCAGGGAAGCTGTGTGCTGTTGATGAAGTCCTGGCCATTTGGGGCTGATGGTTTGAGAAGTTCCTGGGCCTCCGGCATTGGGACCAGAGATGCCAGGGAGGTTTCCTGCAAGTCTGACTTACGGGAGGCGGGCCACTGTGCATCCTTGGGGTCTGGAGCTGGCGGCTGCAAGTCGTGGGTCACAGGTCTCTTTTTATAGCTGGCCCATCCTTAGCCTACTTCCATATTCAGCCTCTCAGGAAAAGAGCGTCCTTTCGAGTCTGTGGCATGTTGTTACCCGCAGCCATCAGTCACCACGCACTTGGAGTTGAGGACGTCTTCTGGCGCAAGTGGTCGAGACGTGTGGGGCGGCACCCAGGAAGCAGCAGCGACAGCTGGGGGTCTAACCGTGAGCCTGGGATGACCCACCCCCCGCAAACTGGGGGGGAGCTCGCTGACTTCTGCTTGGCTGGCGTTACCTGGTCAGCAGATCACGTGTAACTCCCAAAGCCTCCGTCCTCTGTGGCTAGCCGGCGAGACCCACATCTCTTGCTGGAGAGATCAGCTGCTTTTTTTTTTGTTTTTCTGGTGAACTATAATTAATTTACAGTGTTTTGTTAGTTTCTGGTGTACAGCGAAGTCCTTCAGTTATATGTGTATATATATAATCTTTTTTCTATTATTTTCCGATATAGTTTACTACAAGGTATTGAATATAGTTCCCTGTGCTGTACAGTAGGACCTTGTTGCTTATCTATTTTGTATGCAGTAGCTTGTATCTGCTAATCCCAAATTCCTAATTGATCCCTCCATGCCCTCCTTACCCTTTGGTAACCGTAAGTGTGTTCTCTATGTCTGTGAGTCTGTTTCTGTTTGGTAAATAAGTTCGTTTGTGTCATTTTTTAAGGTTCCACCTATAACTGACAAGATAATGTGTGTCTTTCTCTGTCTGACTTACTTCACTTACTGTGATTATCTCCGGGTCCATCCAGGTTGCTGCAAATGGCGTTATTTTATCCCTTTTCATGGCTGAGTAGTATTCCATTGTATAAATACACCACAACTTCTTTATCCAGTCATCTGTCCACGGACATCTAGGTTGCTTGCATGCCTTG